CGCAGACCACTCAGGACAGAGGAGTGGCGCCAGCCAGCAGGGACCAGGCTTGGGCTCTCTGTAAGCCCCGCTCCTTTTAAAGCCATGGACTGCAGAGGAATGTGGAACCCTGCCAGGGCAGCTGGGTTGCTCTCAGCTTACACAGCTCCCTGGAGGCTGCAGGGCCCCAGAGTTGCAGCCCATGCCTGTCCCAGCTGCCTCCACACTCTAAGCAAACACAGCCCCATTCACCCTGAAGTGAGAGGAAAATGGGCACTCTGAGGCCAGCTCAGTGACCATACCTGGCTGAGTGGCCGGCTGTGGGACTCAGTGTCCACTCTATGATATGGAGGATGTGTCCTGGAATGAGTTTACAGATACAAGTCATGTAAGCACAATGCCTGGGGTGCTCTGGGAAGGCTCAGGGAGGCTCCTTGCACCCCGCAGTCCAGAGCCAGAATGGGGTCCCTTTGGGTCTGAGTGGAGCACTTGCTCGGGATGGAGGCCTGAGGGCCAGCAGGGGCTGCGTGTGCTGGCCGTCAGGCCTCAGAGCAGCCCGCCCAGAGAAGGCATCTGTGATGGCAGGGAGGAGGTGCTCGGGCCCTCTAACAGGGCGAACTGAGTTAGGAGCAGGGAGAGACAGGCAGTCCCTGGAATCTGCAAGTGAAGCTCAGCCTCTGAGGTCTCTTCCCACAGCTGCCAGCTCCAAGGTCCCCAGCAGTGGGGGCGCCCAGCCACCAGAGGGCCATCCGGGTAAGGTTGAGCCCAGCCGGGCCAAGTCCCGCCTCCTGCCCAACATGCCAAAGCTGGTAATCCCCTCGGCCACCACCAAGTTCCCCCCTGAGATCACCGTTACACCGCCCACCCCGACCCTGCTCTCCCCCAAAGGCAGCATCTCAGAGGAGACCAAGCAGAAGTTGAAGGTGAGCATGGACACCCGGCAGGGGGTACCAGTAAAAGGGAGTCTGGGTTACCTGGGAACCTGGGGCAGGGGCTTGGGTTACTGGGGGCCTGAGGTAAAGGGATCATGGGATATGGTTCAAGTTAAAGGCAAGAAGCCTAGGGCAGGCCGCATACCCCTGACCTGGGTCCTGCCCTGTCTGCAGTCGGCCATCCTGTCTGCCCAGTCAGCCGCCAACGTGAGAAAGGAGAGGCTATGCCAGCCGGCCCTGGAGGTCCTCGAGACGTCCAGCCAGGAGTCCTCCCTAGAGAGCGAGACGGATGAGGATGACGACTACATGGACATCTGAGGGAGGCCGGCAGCAGCCACAGCTATGTCCTAGGGAACAGCCCCGCCTGGAGTGCTCCTTCAGCCCGAACCCCAGCAGGGCCAGAGGCCCACATGGGGCACACTTCCCTGTGCAGCCTTGTGGCATCCTCTCTTCCCCGAATGGGCCGTCCACACCCACCAGCTGGGTCCTCGGGGGAGGAAGAGAGGTGGGGCCCATCTTATCGCATGAGGATGGATTGGTTTCGATCTTCACAGCAAGCCTGGCATCCTTTTCTATGAAATGTTGACTTTGTAAATGTGCCCACACCCGGCCCAGCCAGCCACATCCACAGCTGGACGCCAGGATGAGCTGGGCTCTGCCTGGGTCCCAGTGAGGGGGTCGTCTAGGGCCAGGCTTTCCCCACACCCTTTTTTCGTTCCTTTTCTAATAAAGATGAAACAATAGTCTTTGCCTCTGCTCACTCCAGATGGGAGGTGGCTTGGGGCCTGCCTGCCTCAAGGGGTTGCTGTACCCAGAGTTTCTGGGTTTCTGGGCCTCTCAGCCCTTGGGCACCCCAGGGATCAGCAGGCTGGGGTGCAGGGGGCATGGCATATGTGGGGAGCAGACTGTACCCCTTGGGCACACTTTAGGGGAAGCAGGGCTCAAGCTGTGCTGAGGGGCTGGCATTGGGGCACTGGGGAGGGGAACCAGGAAGTGGGGGAGCCAGGCGTGGTGACAAACACCTGTAATTCCAGCCATGCTGGATGCTGAGGCAGAAGGGTCATAAATTCAAGGGTAAATTCTCAGACCTTGTCTCAAAAAATAAAGAGGTTGTGGGTTTAGCACAGTGGTACAGCAGTCACCTAACAAGCATGAGGCCCTGGGTTTGATTCCCAGCACCAAGTCAAAAAAGTGCTACGAACACAGTCTCAAAGCTTTAGGAAATAAAAATTGGCTTGATTTTAAAAACAAAGGAACAACCTAGGATCTCTAGACAGCAAAAAATGGGATTTTAAAAATAGGGCTGCAGATACAGCTCAGTAGTAAGACACTTGACTCAGGTGTATAAATCCTAAATTCTCTCCCCAGTCATGGGGAAATAATTGGAAGGTGGGGGACTTAATTCCCACATTTCTCATTACATCTCCCCATAACTACCTGCCCCAGAAGTGTGACATTCAGCACAAATACATATGTGGGGCCCCTTGTTCAGAAGTTACTAAGAATTTTGTTTCGTTTTTCTTTTTACCGGTACTAAAAATAGAACCCAGGGTCTTCACACTGAGCTACATGTCCAGTCTCCCACCCACTCCTTTTTACAAGTGACTTATATTGATCAAGCTGGCTCCAACTTGTGATCCTTCTGCCTCAGCTTCCCAGAGTGCTGGGATTATAGGCATGTGCCACTAACCCATCTAAGAATTTTAATGATGAGCATGGTGGCACATGCTTATAATCAGAGCACTAGAGCACACGAGAAGCTGAGGCGGGAGAATCATGAGTTCAGAGACAGCCTGGACTAGAGTGAGACCCGGTCTCAAAAAATAAAACTTTTTACCAGGCATGGTGGTGTATGCCTATAATCCCAGCACTCAGGAGGCTGAGGCAGGAGGATCACTACAGATTCGAGGCCAGCCTAGGCTACATAGTGACTTCAGGGCCAGCCTGGACTACATAGCAAGGTCTCTAAAAAACTTTTTTAAAAATTAAGAACAACCCAAGCATGGTGACACACACATTTAATCCCAGCACTCAGGCTGAGGCAGGAGGATTGCTGCAAGTTTGAGACCAGCCTGGGCTACAAAGTGAGCTCAAGGCTAGCCTGAACTGCATAGTGAGACCCTGTGTCAAAAAGACAAAAAAGATAAAAAAATAAAAACAATACAGTAGGGCAGGGGATATAGCTCAGCAGCACAGCACGTGCCTGGCAAGTGTAAGGTCCTGAGTGTAATTCCCAGTACCCACCCCCCAAAAAGACCAATACAGCATTAAGCCTGTGATGCTGGCCCTCAGCCTGGTGCCCCTCATGTGCTGGACACTTGCTTGCCATCCAGGAGAGAAGGCATTAGTGACTGGGTGCCACCCTGGGTCCCCAGCCCAGGACATTTGGAACTAGACACCTAGTGGCCTTCGATGGATCCTGGCTGGACTGCCATCTGGAGGACCAAGAAATTAACAGGCACTCAGCCAATGTGTGGGAGGGGGTGCTCACTCACATCTGGGGTGACTCAGGATCACCTCGGGCTGCTGCTGGGCCCAGGACTTCAGGATCCCCTCCCAAAGAGGTGCCCTGAACACTGAATGGTTAAGGGACTTTCTCCCCTCTGGCAGGTGAGGGTCCTGCAGATTCCACCAAGTGTTTCTGAAGGTAGAGCCTGGAGGTGGGGCTACCGCGGGAGCAGCTCTGCATGGGAGCCCTGTTCCAGTTCCTCCACCACAGGCTTCCCCTGATATGCTCATTAGGAGCTTCCCTGTGGGGCGGTACTCACGGGAGCCCAACAGGTGACCACCAGCAACAACTGGTGCCAGGTAGGCGCAACTAGGCAAGAGAAGTGGCAGGTCCCAGAGAACAATGGGATGGCCAGGCTGAAGATCTGAGGCAGGTTGCAGCCCAGGTCATCTCAGCTCATGCCCCACCAGCTCCAGCCACCTGCAGAGTCACTGAATATGTCCTCTTAGAACGCTTTGAGAAGTTGCGACCTGGCTGTGGAGGTTTCCAGAAGTCATCAGAGAGCCGATTTAACCCCTGCATCTCCAAAGGGCTTCAATTTCCAGTTCTGCACGAAGGTTAAGGAGGAGAACTCCAAAGAGAATATGCAGATTCTGCAGGGTTAGGGAGGGGAGCTCTGAAAATATGCAGATTATGCACAAGGGTTAGGGAGGGGAACTCTGCAGAGAATATGCAGATTCTGCAGGGTTAGGGAGGGGAAGTCTGCGGAGAGTGCAGGTTCTGTGAGCGACGGCACTGGGGCTTGTGGCTGAGCAGGCTCCTGTTTCTGGGCTCCCCATGGAGCCTGTGAATGGGCGGCCTAGCTGGGCCCAGGCACCTCCCTCCACTCAACTTCCTCCTCCCAGTAGGGATCCCCACTGAGCTGCATAGGGCCAAGGACACACAGGACTGTGCCAGGGTGTGACTTGACAGCTCCAGCCCTCTGAGATCACCCACACACCACACCCGCCCAGCAGGGCGGGTCCTGGCCTCGTTGCAGCGGGGGGCGGAGAAACGGGCAACACCCCCTCCTAGTGGGAGGCTGAGGACCGAGGATGTAAGATCTACCCGGAGGGCACAGGCGCTGGACCCCTGCCAGTTTCGCCGACGCCCTTTTCACCTCCCAGCAGCATCCCATCCCCTGCAAGGGCCCCGCCCTGCAGGCGCAGACTGGGCTGGGACCCACGGCCCTGAGGCAGCCTGTGGACATCCCCCTCATCATGTGTCAAAGGTCCTGCAGCTGGAGGCTCCAGCCCCTTCGCCCTCGGACAGGGTCCCAGGGCAGAGGTTCGGCCCCCTCCCCCTTGTCCCCTGCTGTTGGGCCAAGAATGTGCTAACGGGGCAGGTCAGTCGCTGCTGGTCCGCAAAGGCACCTGTGGACTTTGAGAGGGTTGGGGCGGGGCGAGGCGGGGCGGGG